GAGCTACACCGGTTCTGAAATCTGACAGCTGGCACCACAAGAAGACAACTGAAAGTTACTATGTGAAAAATTATGGTAGAAATAAAGCTCCAAATACCTAGGAGAAAATATAGGTGAGGAATTAGTTCCCCAAATAAGCAAATGAAGAGGTGGCAAGTAGATTTTTCTATTCAGCTTATCTGCTTCAAGCAAATATAAAAGAAATAACTTGAAGCAGTTTGGGACAGATGAAAGATATGAAAAAAATAAAAATATTAATTTCAAAATCAACGGTTAAAATAAGAACTCTCACTCGGTGTATTTAGTTATTTGTATTATTTAAGAAAGAGTAAGAAGTAATGATACAAGAAAAAAATGGTTAAATTTGTTTCAGATAAACAAGTTCTGATGAGTATAACAAACATTTATTCTCCAACTTTCTACCTAAAGGGGGAAAAAAAGCAGGCCAGGCATGGTGGCGCATGCCCGTAATCCCAGCAGCTCAGGAGACTGAGGCAGGAGGATCACGAGTTCAAAGCCAGCCTCAGCAAAAGTGAGGTGCTAAGCAACTCAGTGAGACCTGTCTCTAAAAAAAAAAAAAAAAAAAAATACAAATTAGGGCTGGGGAATGTGGCTCAGAAACCCCTGAGTTCAATCCTCAGTACCCTCCCCACGGCCCCAAAAGAAGGAAAAAAAGCAGAGCTCCCAGGCTATACTAGTTGAACAAGAGGTGTAGGTGAGCACACCACACTGCCAGGCATTCCTTCCACACTAACTTAACTACTATTGCCTTGAATGGAAACTGACTTAAAAGCCACTGTGAGCACTTCTTCTGTATAGGGCAGACTATTTTATTCTTTTTCTGATCTTTTTATGACTTGAATGAAAGTCAGAGAAAGCCACACTAAGAGAAGAAAAGCAGCAACAAAACAAAATAAAAACTAAAACATAGAAAACTCTGCATATAACTTCTATTGTGGAAACAAAAATTCAAATCACTGACAAATGAGGTTTCAGAGTATCTGTGAATTTCATTGAAACCAGTACTGTGGGCACCTGAGTACTCATATGCGAAAGTACATGGTACTTGATCTGAATGCCAAAACTACCAGTTCCAGGAGAAACTTACTTACTGAAAGCTTTTTAAAACTACAGATGGGGTATGCAATCTACATAGTCTTATTGTACCAGAATAAAGAAAACAGAGTAGGACTGGGGTTGTGGCTCAGTGGTAGAGCACTTGCCGAGCCGGGTGAGGCACTGGGTTCAATCCTCAGCACTGCAAAAAAAAAAGGAAAAAAAAAAGTAAAATAAGGTATTCTGTCCATCTACAACTAAAAAATAAATAAAAGAAAGAAAGAAAACAGAATAAATACTTTTAAAAAGAGCTCAAGAAGACAGAAGATACCAAGTTTTATCCAACCTAGAATCACTCAAGCTTAGAATTTCACTGGGAACACAAGAAAATCTAGCTCAGGAACTGAGAACTATTGGTGAGGACCTATATTTCTTAAATCAACACAAAAATAATGCATAATAATAAGGGACTCAACTAGTGTTAACCTATCCTTGTCATTCTTATTAAGAGCCACTCATTGTTTCAAGTACTCATCGAAACCCCTCCACAACCCTGTGAGGTTAGTGCAATTTCTGTCATCCCTCCTTTCCATACACGTAAACCTAGCAAGTTGTAATTTGCCTAAGATCACTTTCCTAGAGAATGACAGAGGTGAGATTCAAACACAAGCCACTGGGCCTCATAGTCTGTGCTCTCATACATTTTGCTATATGCTACCTTTCTAACTACCAAGCCAAAGCAAAACAAAGCTCCCAAACTAATCACCCCAGGAAAAAATTCAATGTTTAATCCAAGTGAAGGTTTTTAAACAGTGAAAAGTATATAGCCATTGTAAGATTAATTATCACTGTCCATTTTCTCCTTAAGTTTTTTTTCAAGATACATCCTCTTTGCTTAAATGTAATCATGTTCTCCATGTAGAATTCAATTGAGGGCCAGCTAAAGTAATGAAAATCTGATGCCAGAGGGTTGGGGCTTTAAGTAAGCACTGTTAGAGAAGCATATTATACTTTTGTTAAAAATGTTAAATTCTTAGCTCCAATAATTTCTTCAATAAAGTAAGCCTAGAGAATATAAATGCCTCTATTATACACCATCTGAACCACCCTAAAGAAAAAAGGAGGAAGGGTTACAAAAGGGTAAGAGTTCAAATAAACATATGTCACTTGCTGAAACATGCAAAATGACATCCTCTCTCAGGTCCAACATAATGATACCCTAGGAAGATTCAGCATGAACTAAAGAGCTCCATTTTTACACCTTAATTAATTTTTTTTTGTAAAGCTGGAAGCACATACATGTATGTTGGTTTAAACACCTTCTAAATGTTAAAAGCAAAAATAAATTGCTCAACTTAGAAAATGTAAAAAGGGGGTTCGGTTTTCACATGAACAATACAGAAAAAGGTACCATGTGAAATATAGAAATCCTTCTAATCAAAGTTAAGCAAGAAAAATACTGGCATTCTATGACAATTATACCCATGATCTTCCATTCTCTAGCCTGAAGATTAGAAGAGTTAAACAAAATACTGATACAATGTAACCAACCATCGGTTAGTCAAAGACAAGGAGAGTAATAGCCTGTGCAGAAATCCGTGTTTTATCTCCTACTTGAAAAATTACAAGAAGTGATCTTGCCTACCAGAAAACAAACTTTTTAAACTCAAATACAACCAAATACTATCTTTCTGATAACTTCCCACCATTAATTAGAATCAATGACCTCCAAATCTTAAAAGGGTATGCATCCCATAATTATTAAGCCATTTCTCAATTTTAAACGAAGTAAATATTTACTTTCTGACTTTCAACCAATTAAATTATTTTTACTACTACTGCCTCCGTGCAACACAGCTTACTGCAGGAAGCAGAACTTCCAGGTGAGCAGAGAGGACCTGAGACCTAAGCCCTTGGGAGTGAGGTGGTCCCTAAAAGCCCAAACCCTTGTCCTCCCTACTGCCTAGGGACGCCTTTCCCTGAATGGGCTATCTGGGTACTCCTGCAGTACACCATGTCCTATGTACAGAAGCATGACACCAGGTACTGCGTACACACAGACACGAGTTACTGTACTGCACACTGTAGAGACAAGGATACTGTGTAAGCTACACACGACACGGGATAGATATTGTGCACACTCTATAGGAAGCCGCGTAATGTGCATACCCTGTGGAACACACCGGATACTGTGCACACTGTCTATGACACTGGACACAGCGTGCAAACATACTGTGTCCACACAGTACATGATACCAGGCACTAGGGCACCTATCTCACACAACACCGGATAGCGTGTGCACACCGCACAGGGCACTGCTCAGGGCGATGAGTACTGTGAGCACACACTAGAAGACACCCGGTACTGCGGACACCCCTGGAGCGACACCGGGTCCCGCAGGCACACAGCCAACGATGCTGGGTACCGCGGGCACACGGCAGGCGCCCCTCGGCTCGGCCCAGAAAGAGCGTGAGGGAGCCGTGCAAGTGAAAGTTCGGGTCCCGCGCCCCCGGGGGCCTCCCCATCCCAGCTGCGTCCACCGCAGATTCCCTCGGGGGCTCTGGGCGCGAGGAGGGCGGCGAAGCCTGAGCACAGTGCCCCAGGCCCGGGAGGACCTGTTGAGGCGCCTGCGGCCTCCCTCCGGGGTCGCCGCGGCCGCCGAGGGCCGGCGGAGCCTGCGCGGGCCTCGGCACGGCCCTGCCGCGCTGCCGTTCGGCTCGCACACGACGCTCGCGTCCCTCCGGCCCCGCTCGCGTTCCCCGCCGACGGCCACCGCGCAGGGCCCGGGAGGCCTGGCCGGGCGGGCGGCGCGGGGCCCGGGGGGCGGCGCTCACGCGACGCCGCGGCTTCCCGGCCCGCGCAGGCCCCGCGCACTCCTCCCGGGCCTCCGCCGCCGCCTCGGCCAGTGCACCTCGGGCGGGGGAGACACGCCGGCCACGCCGGCCCCGCAGGCCCCGCGCCGCAGAGCCCACGGGCGGCGGGCCCACCGCGGGGCGAGCATCCGCTGGCGCTCAGAGGCCGCGGCCCCGCAGGCTCCCGCGCGGGCCGCCGCGCCACGGCCGCCTCCGCCCGCCCGCCGCCCCGCCGCCCCGCTGCCGCCGCACTTCCCCACCATTATGCTCCGGCTCCGCCGCCGCGCCCGGCCCTCCCCTCGGTGCCGCCTTCTTCCCGCCGCCCGGCGCCTCTCGGGCCTGAGCCGGCGACGGGCGCGGGGGGCGGGGGGGACGCGCAGGCCGCCGCCTCCTCCTCCCCGCCGGCCTCCGCCCTCCTCCCGGCTCCCCCCGCCCGGCCCCGCCGCCGGGTCGGCGCGGAGGGCTCGGGGCTCGAGGGGCGCCATATTGACGGCCCTGCCCAGCCGGCGCCGGGGCGCGCGGGGCCGGGAAGGCGCCGCGGCCGGCGGAGCGCGGGAGGGCCGAGGGCGAGGCCCGCGCGCGCACTTACTGCGTCTCCTCGCCGAGCCGCGGGCCTGCGGGACCCCGGGGGCCGCGGCGGGGCCCGGCCGGGCGGCGCGGAGCCTGCGGGCAGCGCGGGGCCGGGCGGGCGCCCGGGAAAGTTGGCGTCCCTGCGCGGTCGCCGCTCACATGGCGCAGCAGAGCGGGCAGCCGCTCATCGCTGCCAGCCCCAGGCCCGCCCGCCCGCGGCCCCGCTCCCGCTCCTGCTCCCGCTCCGAGTTTATTGTGTCTGGCGGAGTCTCCGGCGGCCGGGCCGGGCGAGAGGGCCTGGGCTGGGCCGGCCGCGCGCGGGGGGCTCTAGTGGCGGGCGCTGGACTTGCGCGCGGCCGGCCCGGCTCGCGTCCGCCTCCCGCCCAAGGCCGGGGCCGGTGCACGCCCGCTCCTACCTTCCCTCGTCCTGTCTTCGGCGCCTCTATCCAAAATTAGTTTCAGCATATTCTCATGTATCCACACACGAACTCCATATCAATACACACGTGAAAGCTACGTACGTGCAGGCGCGCTCGAGCCCTGAGCGGTGCGCACCGAGCGCTCAGACACGAGGGCAGCATTGTTCGGCTGGGCCGCTCCCGGCCAGCGCCGCGTGTGAGTGGCACGGACCTGCTCCGCGGTCTGCGGGGGCGGATTGCAAAGGCTGGAGAAGCACCAACTCCCGTGTTGGCAGAACGGGTAAGGCAGCTCCAATGTCTATCTCGAGGATGTCCAAGTTCCTCTTTCCATACACAGAAATAAGACTTCCAAAAGAAACGGGGACCACCCGTTATCGATTTGGCAAGAGCACCACAAATTTGTGAGAAGGAGACTCTCTTAGTGTAGTGAGTGATTCTAGGCCTAACCAGGGAAGAGACCTTAAGTTTTGAGTGGCTTATTGCAAAACAGTCTCAGATAAGTGCACATATAGATTCCATCTATGTCCCTAATGACCTTTCTCCGCTAGGAGTTGAGAAGGGAAAATTTATTCTCATTCTCTCTGGACATATGTACCTGAAATCACTGGAGAGAGACTGTCCTAGAAATTTGGGGTTTCTTACCCAGTTTATCAATGTGCTTTCATAGCTGGTCTTTAAGAACTTAGAAATGGGTGGTGTTGAATAGATCTCTGATGTATACCTGTCAAATAGGCACTCTTTCAAACTCTTAGCCCTGGTTCTGATACATACATCTCAGATTGTTGTTTTGCTATTTCAAAGAACATCACAAAATAATTTTAATTCATTTAAAGAATAAATGTTTGAACAACCAACAATAAAAAATAAATTTAAAAAACCAACAATAAAAAATAAAAAATAAAGAATAAATGTTTGCCATTAAAATTTCAATCGAGGGGTTGACAGAAAAAAATTCTAGTCATACCTGTTTGCTAAACAAGGAATTTTAACGATCACCTTTTATAGTGAATCACCTTTTAAAAATAAAGTCTGTTACTTTATCTAAAAGATGAAGTTCTTCGTAGTTCTCTGTTTCTCAGAGACCACACTGTAACCAAGAGCTCCGTCCCTGTCCCCAATGCCAATCAATGACTATTTAATAATGAGGACACAGTTTCGAGGAAAAGATAAAGGAAGGTTTATTGCTTTGCCAGCAAAGGAGAAACACTCCTATCCCAAAGGTTGTGACTCTCCTGATCAGGAGGATAGGGGGTTTTAAAGGAACTCTTCAAGGGTTACATCCCAGGTGTGCTCTGATAGGGGGTCCCAGGGCACCTTGCTGGCATGTTAAGATTCACTTGTTAATTTGGGAGATATTCACTTCCCAGATCCTCAGCTAGCATCTCCTTCCTGTGGTGGGTGTGTTCAAGGGCAATTAACAAGGGGAAGAAAAGAACACTGTCTCCCTAATCTTGTTAGGGAGGGGGAGAGGGAAAAAGAGAGAGAGAAAAAACTTTTTTTTTTTTTTTAATAAACCTTAGAGCAATGAGGGCTATAGTCAGAAGGTGAAGGGACCACTGTTACAACACAAATACGGCATTTATGTATAAAAGGAAGCTTACCTTTTAGGAAAGAGATGACTGTGTAATTCCACATTTTCCTCTCCAGTTATATTTTGTAGGCATCAGATTTTATACGCAGATACCATCTCATTTTACATAATGTAAGTTAGATAACTTGTCCCTGGATTTCCTATCAGTGTTGTGTGCAATTTAACCCTGGGCTCTATTGCCCCTTTCCCAACAATTACTTTTTCCTCTGCTGTCCCTCAGTTGAGTGAATATATGTGTGTGGGTCTGGGGGCCAATGGCTGGAGGTTTAAGGACTTCTGGCCACTCAAGTGGTTATTTCCATACAACATAAGACAGACCATGAATTTATCTACCAGATTGTGAAGAGGGGTCAAAGGGCTCTAAGGTGTTGAGGAGAAAGGAAGAATGGTGCACAAGGGTCAGGGACAGCACCTGCTGAGGAAGGGCATCCCAGAGTCTTCTTGGCCTCTGCCACACTCTGTGCTTAGTCCCTGAGAAGATCACTCCCCTCCACCTTCTGCTTCAAAAATGTCATGTAACTAGAGAAGGCATGCACTACTGTTCAACAAATTGGAGTGGAGGATTTGTCTCTTTAAAAAACAAATATGACCTATCCACACTGCACTTCTTTTTTTTTTTTACAAAGTTCAAATGAACAAATAATACAAAAACTGAAAATCTTCAAAAACTAGAAGATAATACAGCTGAATTTTTGCAAGATTGCAAGCAGAGAAGAATATCCAAAACCTTAGAGTAACGGGGTTTGGGAGAAATCACACACACACAAACACACAGACACACACATGACTGATAAATTTGACTATAAAATATTATAAATCCTACATGTCAAAAACAAGTGTAGTCCTACTCTAAAATCTACCCAGAAGTTCTTTCTAACACCCTCCCTCCTACTCTCTTCACATAAGGCTCAGTTAATGCTTCTTGGGACTCCCTTGGAGTCTTGTTGACTCGTCAAAGTGTTCCTGGTCTGATAATCGCACATAAGTGGCAGTAATAAACTTATGCACTGCCGCCCTTGAAATGCATTGTTTTTATTTATTTTGCCTTTACTACTATGTGTGGCTTTATGCTTTAGTTTTGCATTAAAGGCTGAATTAACATAAACACTGAATATTCTATGTGTGTTTTGTTTGAGAATGTAAGAGTACCATGGAGCACAGCTATGAAAAGCTCCAGGGATTCAGAGGAAGAGCACATTGTAGAGAAAAGAGGAGCAGAACGCGCGGCGGTGTGCCATGATCACGAAGGCAAATTAGGGAAGCAAACAGGTCAGTTTCAGGAGACTTGTTAAACATTTATGGGATCAGAAACAGCATTTTTCCTCATTTAAAGTAATAGTAACTCCATCTTCAACTAACAGGAATGTTTTGCTTAGCAACAAATTGTCCTTCAGAGCTGAGGAAGACTCTACAAGTAAAAGACAAAGCAGAAGACAATTTATGCAAGATTTAAAAAACTATGGTGCTGGTCTTCAAAAAGTCATGTCACATCAAGAAGATAAACACCAATAACTCCCCTTCCCCTGAAAGACAAACACCATGGATAATCTACCAAAGAGAACAAGATGATTAATCAACACTGACATTCACTTTTGTGGTGTGTGTGTGGTGCCAGGGATCAACCTTGTGCATGCTAGGCAAGCACTCTACCAACTGAGCCATATCCCCAGCCCTGACATTCACTTTCACTAATAATAAAATGACCAAATAACACAGACTGCTTCAAATGACAGGATTCTTTTTCAATGGGGGTGCCAGCGAGGGACAGAGAAACAGACACACTTATGCAGTATTGGAAGAAAACCGAATCAGTATGAACTCACATGAAATACCCAGAGACTTAAGAATATTTATGTCTTTGATGCAAGAAGTCCAAGTTTAAAAATCTACCTTAACAATATCACCGGAAAGACCACCAAAAACTTATAGACAAGAGTGTTCAATTTGCCACTCGACTTAAAAGTCTTAACAATTTTCTGCTGCAGTAGAATAAAATCTAAACCCTATTCCCCGAGTCACAATGCCATCTGACTTTAACATCATCCTTCAGCCTCCTGACTTTAACATCATCCCTGCCCTACTGACCTTTGTTCTATCCCAGGACATCTCAAGGGTTGTTCCCTCCAGAAAAATCCTCCCCACCTTTTCCTACTTGACCTTTAGGCATCCAGATGTCTCTTTAACAAAGGGACTTCATGAGCCCTAATATAAATTAGATCCTCCCTGTATTTTTTCTAAAGCACAAGGTAATTTGTAATGTCATATTTATGTGTGCATTTATAGACTGGGGGAATTTGTACTCCATGATACACCCAGGTACCTGATACACATTGTTAGGCAAAAAAGTGCTGCAGATAAAATTGGCAGTTTCTTGTGAAATCAAAGCACTGTAAAGATTTTTAAGCATTTTGTTGTTAAATACTATAATACCAAAGATTTTGTCACTCAGGTATTGCAGTTTTTCTTAATGCATCTTAATTAAAGCTATATTTTAATTGGATCATGTTATACTTAGGTTAATAGCTTAGGGCTGTAGAGTAAAGGATCTTATAAGGCAGGTGTCCCCAGCCCTGAGAGGAGCTGTGGAATGTCCTCTCTGCCCAGAACCAGAAAAAAATATGTACAACTGGATAATGTTTTTATATCAATCATATGAAAGCACTTTTCTCCTTTGTGTTTTCCATATATGTGATGTGTCTAGGTAGCATAAAGCATCTGTGGCATGGAGGGCATGACAAAGTACCAAGGGAAAGTTAATGTTCATCTTTCAACACTCCAGAAAAGGCTGTACAAGACAGTGTGGTTGCAAGTGATGCTCAGTTACTTTCTCTCTGTTTTTAACTTTTTTTTCAGCACTGGGGATTGACCCCAGGGCCTCATTCGTGTTAGGCAAGTGTTTTACCACAGAACCATATCCTCAGCCCTTTTTGTGTTTTCTTTTGAGACAGGGTCTCACTAAGTTGTCCAGGCTTGCCTCAAGCTTGAAATCCCCCTGCCACCGGTGTTGCTGGGATTTCTGGTGTGCCCAGCCATTTTCAACATATTTAGAAGTAGGTCTGGCCTAGTAGAACACTGAACTTTACAATCCAGGATGGAAAATGGGAACTAAATGGGAGAGAGAAGTAATATGAGCCAGGCATGGTGCTGCACATCTATCATCCTAGTGGCTTGGGAAGCTGAGGCAGGAGGATCAGAAGTTCAAAGCCAGTCTCAGCAATTTAGCAAGGCCCTATGCAACCTAGTGAGACCCTGTCTCAAAACAAAATATAAATAAAGAGCCAGGGATGTGGCTCAGTGATTAAGTAAGTGCCCTGGTATTAAAAGAAGTAGAATAAGAATAAGAATAGAAGAAGAAGAAGAATAGAAGAAGAATAAGAAGAAGAAGAATAGAAGAAGAAGAAGAGGAGGAGGAGGAGGAGGAGGAGGAGGAGGAGGAAGAGGAGGAGGAGGAGGAAGAAGAAAAAGAAGAGGAATAATAATAATAAGAAGAAATACGAAGTGTGTTATCAGCAATGGTTAGGTACTTTCCCCAAATATTTTCCTCATCTGTAAAATGGAATATTACCATTATCCTATAGGATTGAAATGAGAAAAAAATGCAGGCATCATTCTTATAATAGAGCATGATCCTAATAACTGCTCCTCCGTATTGATAGCTATGTTGCTTTATCAGTAAAATGTTAGCCAGAGATATTAAATGAGCTAATGATTGTCAACTGCCTGATAGAAGGAGCTCCCTTTTTACCCCCTCCTGCATTTGAGAAGACAGGACAACAAATTGAGGACACCTGAGGACACAGGGTGCTGGTGGCTAATCACAGGTAAGTTTCCAACTCCTCTCTGATCCCCTCCTGTCTAACAGGCCGGCCCAGAAGGGGACCCTGGGGATTACTGCCAGGTTCCTCGTCCCCTAGCTCCAGGCTAGTTGCCATGGTCTGGAACAGAAAAACCTTGAACAATTTCAGCCTGGGTCGACTCCTTAGTCAAAGCTGCTGTTTCAGCAGCTGCTTCACAAGCATTGCTTCTGACCAGTTACATAACTTTTGGCAAGTAGCAACTTCTCTGGCATCAGTTCCCTCTTCTGGAAACTTAGAAGGGCTACTAATTGCCTTTAAGTTTCCCATTAGCACAAAAATGTTACACAGTGCTACAGGAGCATCTGCTCCCCAACTCCTGTTATTTCCTTGCTCTGTTCCCACCCAGCCTCTTCTCAGGTCCTCTGTAGAAGCTCTTCTATTAAATATTCTTTCTGGTTCTATGCTCTCTACCTCTGGATGACTTTTCTTCTTTCTTTCTTGGCTTCTGGTTGGTTGAGTTTTAAACTCTCATCGCAAGTGATGATTCATGGCCTCTGCATAAGCAATCAGACTGGTGATCCCCTGTGCCTAAGCCTGCCACCAGTGTGGAAGCCAGTGCCCTTTGAGAGTCTTGTTCTTGGATTTACAACATGCAGAGGCATGTAGACAATCTCAGCTGCATCCTGAAAAGTTCTTCTCTTCTTCATTTACACACTTAAGGCAGAGGAAAGCAGACTTAAGACTTCTCTAGAGATAAAGAAAGCAACAGATGCCTTCCATTTGGCTTCCCAGAGTGTCCTGGAAGACCCTTAGATTCTCCTGAAGTCAGGTCTGCAATGTGTCAACCAGTTCTTGCCCTTGGAGGTCTGCGCTCAGAAAGCAGCCCACCACCTGTGCTCTGGATCAGAGGTTCACATTTGGATGATTCCTGGAGATGAATGTTGGGAGCAGTTAAGGGCCTCACAGCTCAGAGGGGTCTTTCCACAGGAAGAAAAGATCAGAGGCTGACACCTGGCCCAGGCAGAGATGACCTCTACATAGCAAGAGAACCCTGGTTGCTGTTCACACCTCCCCCCTGCCCTCAGGCTTCTACAGACCAGGCCACCTCCCTTAGCCCCAGAACCCCAAGCCCTGTACCCTGAAGCTCGCTTCTTGCCCCTCCCTGAGTCTAATACTCCCATGCTTTAGGCATGAAGTAAACTTTGTGACTTCTTTTCCTACACCTTAAACCTCATGTCATGGATGCCTTTATAACATTTTGTCACTTTTTTAGGAGGACAAAACTTAAGCAGACGTTGCACTATTACCACTGATGAATTCCACGTGGAGCCAGTGGAGCTGGAAGAGACCTTTTTAAAACCCAAGGGAATAGGAACATGTATGTTAATTCCAAATCCATAGGTTTTTTTTCAAAATTTTCTTCAAGAAAGAATAACATGTAAAATATGCATTTGTGCTTCTACCTTCTATTATTTGAAGGATATTATCTCCCTAAATTGCCAGGTGACAAATTCCTTAAAGACCTGAAGGAAAATAAATAAAATCTTTAGGTCTCCCAGATGAGATGTGGGGATATAAAAATCTAGGGGTAATACTAGGTGTGGCAGTGCATGCCTGCAATCCCAGCGGCTCCAGAGGCTGAGGCAGGAGGCTCACAAAAGTTCAAAGCCAGCCTCAACAATTTAGCAAGGCCCTAAGCAACTTAGTGAGACCCTGTCTCAAAATAAAATATAAATAAAGCACCAGGGATGTGGCTCAGTGGTTAAGTGCCCATGGGTTCAATCTCTGGTACCAAATTAAAAACAAAAACAAACAAACAACAACAACAACAACAAAAACACAACAACTAGAGATAAAATGAAATGAAAAATAAATTCAGAAGTAAACTATGCTACTTACAAAACTATTACAGCCCAAAAACATTTCCTAAATCACTTGGTCATCCTCTCTTCATTTACACTTTGGTTCCTTTTGCTTGTGTACATTTCTGAGATGAAGTCAGAGAAAGCTTTGAGAGCTCTACTTCCTTTTTTCTTTCAATTTGACTGCTCGAAGAATTTAAAGTACAGGAAGTCCTGTGTCCTCAAGGTAAAACCTGATGCGTGTCTTTCTGCCTCTGCACGGTATCCTTCCATGGTCCACTTCCACCCTCCCTCCCTCTGGGACAGCCCTTGTTAAACGTTCACACAGTGCTAGTCAGGGTTGATTTGTGTTTCTTATTTGTATTCATTTCCCTTCTGATCTTTATTTTGAACAAGTATCTAGAATATGAACAAAGAAGGTGAAAGAAAAAGTGAAACTCAGCACATTTTTTTAAAATTAGTAATTGTATTTTTTAACAGGACAGCTGATGATAGAGGTAACTGAATATAGATTACAAGACAGAGATAATTATGTCATTTCTTACACATTTACCAAAGTTTTGAATGCTGATTGTAAACCTGGTTTTGTGCTAAGTGCTGTTTTAAATGCAAATGTGTTTATTTCTGTTAAATACTTAACTGAGAGTTCCTTTTAGAGGTGTTTTGTTATTATGTGTTTATCACATCTTAAAATCCTCTATGTAAGCAGCATATTATGTGATCGGTGTTTTATGCCCTCATACACAATAGCAGCATGGCTAAATAAATTATGATTTATCCATAGGCTAGGATTTATGTAACCATTACAGAAGTTGCTTACAAAGGTTATTTTCCTGTGTTAAGTGAAAAACTATGATATACATTACAGAAAATGATCACACCATATAAAAATGAACATGCATGTTTACCAGAAAAAGATCAGAGAAAACATAAAATGCTGAATAGATTAATCTCTGGCAAATAAGACTATGTGTGATTTACTTTTTCTGTTTTATAATTTTATCTTCTTACAAGGTTATCTTCTTACAAGGCTGAATCATCGTACAATTCTATAAAATGGTTGTTATTAAAGTGAGATATTGATTTTTAGGAGATTGCTCTATAACTTTAAGTTGTATTCATTCAGTACAGTGTCCTCAAAAACACTGCATAATGCAGTTAACAGAAAACTTATTTCCAATTAAAATCTCTGTGAATACATTTAGTCTGTCAAGTGAGGAACAACTCTAACTGTTCAGAGTAATACCAGATTGGAGCCATTTCTGTACATCAAAGAAATTATATATTTGCATTTTTACATGGTTCTACTTAACAGCGTTGGTGTTGGGATTTCCTGAGTGGGAATTT